ACGGTTGTGGTTATTTCGGTAACTGGCTCAACTCTCGTCGAGATATATCCCGCGTAATAATCACCAGGCATCGACGTAAACGTGCCCGATGTTCGCGAAGCACGCCATAAAAGTCACCCTACGCTCGGGAACGCGTTCGTTCTCTCGGCTCGACACGAGTCGAAGACAGTCGGAGGATTAACATTTCGCCGACGAGGGACGTCGGTGATTCCGTTGGAGGGTAGGACGGAACGGGACCCAGGGCGAAGAGGGGGTTGGGAGCGGTTGGGAGGTGCGAGAGACGGTGCGGTGCGAACGACCGTGAAGTGGCAGAGGGTGTTGGCCTCGTGGTAGGGGCTTGTTTGAGGTACGGATGCGTTTGTTGCGAGAACGGATGAGAGTGGATGCCATGCCAAGGTGGAGTGGGTCAGTCGAGCCCGTCTCTCCTGCTCTGTCCCTCTTCCTCTGCCTCTCGTGCCCTATGCTTCGGCTCTTTTGCACCGCGCCACACGTACGCTTGCACACACGAGTCCACGCCCGCATTAGTTTTATTGCTCGTGACGAAGCGAGGGTTTAAACTGCGAATAGTCTGAAAAAGCGTTGTTAGGATGATCAAAGATTCGAGGCTTCTTTGGACACCCGGCCCGGCCACGACTCTTCGTCCCTTTGACGCCATTGTGCGCGAGTTTCGAGCGCTTTGATTGCTCGGCTGCCAAACGAGCCCGATCGCCTGGCTTCCACGCGCATCGTGAAATTTCTATGCGGACAAGCACGCTCGATTTCGCATCGGGATATCTCGGCAAATGCGATTACCTCCCATTTTTCCCTACGATCAATCACCCCGACGTGTTTCCCGGTAAAGCGGATCGACGGGACGCAAATTGACAGCGCGCCGCGAGGCAACAAAAACCAGCCCGCAGCGCGAAAGCGACTCACGAACCGGACCAAAGAGCTTTCTTCCAGTCGCGCCATTCCTCCGCGCGAGCCTTTCTTCGCGCGCTTTCACGCCGAAGGCCGCGAAGCGTGGACTCGGCCGCTGGTCGAGGCAGAAAGCGAGAAAAACGAGCCAAGGGACGGAGGAAAGTATTTCGGTTCGACTCGCCTCTTCGTCGAATCGAAATGAATTCGAAGCGTGTTGCCGGCCGGCAAAAAGTTCGCCCGAAGACGTACGCGCGTGTGCACGCCTACCAGCCCCGGACGAACGAGTTCTCGCCGCGTGGCGAGCATTTAAGCCACGGCTTAACCCGGCTTAAAGCGTTACTCGGCTCCCTCTCTCGTACTTCCGCCACGTTCCGTTGGCTGACCGCCGCGCCGCGGCTTTTAATCGAGCGCCACCGGATTATCGCGACTCGCAATCTTCGTCCGGCCTTCGAACCCGCTCGTCATTCGTATTCTAGCCGCGATCGCCAGTGCAACATCGCGGATGCGTATCTCGCAAACTATCAACCTGCATTCTTCCGACTATCAGGCGTTTCATGACTCCATTCTTCTTCCTTTTTATCCCGCCGATTCTATTCCTCGCCATCGTCCTCGCTCGCAGGACAAATAAATGCATCGTCGCGGTAAAGCGTACAACTGAACGCGATTGTTTCAGTCGATTCGCGTTGAATTTTACGTTTGACACTGTCTCGGCTGTCATTCGACTCGTTAACCGGGAACGACGAGTTAACTCGTTACCGATACTTGGAAAGTTGCCTCGAGATTCGAAAAATGTAGTTTCTTCACCGAGATTCGAGTCAAGCTTCACCGTATTATTTTGTTCGTCGTTAATCATCTTCGAGCACCATCGATCTCGAGTACCTGTTGAGGGTTCTGGATTCTTGGCTGGCTGGGAAGCTTCGCGACTTCTCGATCCGCGAAATTCAACGGGGATTTAACGACGGAAAATGTGGAATATTTATTCGAAACTTGCTCGCAACACATTGGCGGGAGGAAAAATCTACGAGCGCCGCAAGTTTTCTTATTTATCTAGCAGCCTGGAACTCCGGGAGCGTCACTTGCGACGACACGAGGCAACGGCCAACGACGAATAGTTGGAAATTCTCAAACTCTCCGCTACTTCCGCGATTCTTAAATTTCCCCGAAACTTTCCGTGACCTCGGTGATTCGAAGATTTCCTCGCGGTCCCGTGTTTTCAGGGGGATCCGCGTCTGGAACCGCTTGCCGTTTAACTTCTCGTCATCGCGAGCCAGAAACGTCCCGATGTTTGGTTTCCGGTTTGAACCGCGCGAGTTTCCGAGATTTCGAACTCGCTCGCCAACTTCACGGAATCTTGATATTCTTGAAATTCCGGCAAACTTCCACGGACACGGAGAATCTCGCACAGGGCCATTGCCGGTCTTGGCAAACTCGAATCCCGTAACCAAAGACCGCGTCGATTTCCGAGCTCGCGTTTAACTCGTGATCGAGCTTAACCGTGAATCCAGAGAGAGAGAGAGAGAGAGAGAGAGAGAGATCCTGAGGTTTTGTAATTTTGCGTCCTCGCGAACAGAGCGATTCGTGAGACGGATCGAGGAAATCACGACGGTTCTCTTCCCGATGGTCGAACCCAACTGCGAATAAATAGGTACATCCGAAGCCTGATGGATTTCCAAGGGGCCCCCTTTTATCGAATTCGACAAGCGAGAATTCCCTAAGTCGACTCGCCGGAAGCTCTGATTTCTCCAGGGAGCCTGGCAAAGGGCGGTGGAATCAGATTGTCCGAGGAACGTTCGAGAATTGAAAGGTTTCGCTGCTTCCTTTGCCTTTTGAGTATCCGTTTCCGCTTCGCGATTGTCCGTCAGCTTATCCCATTAACGCGTCGCGTTTTGTCCGTGAAAAGCGTCTCGCGAGTCTCGCGTTATATCCCTCCGACCAGGAGGAGCAGAAGCGTCGGTCCTCGCCGTTATTATACTCCCGGATACGTTTGAAGCAACGCGGGAAGCTCGAGCGAGTCTTTTCAAAGGTTACCCTTGGACGAGGCGAATGCTCGGGATGACTGAGTACCAGATATGCGCGTGGAACTTGGAACATGTTTCTATTACGTACATACAAGTGACTCTTCTGACACGGTTGAAAGCGTTTAAAACTCCCGTGTCCCGCAATAACATTCCTCGCGAGGTAAAAGTCGTAAGAAGCTGGGGGAACGTATGGAGTAGAATATACCAAACGCGCCATCAGAAACCCCCTCTTTGTCGTGTATCCTGTCGCGTTACCTCTTCTTCGCCTTCCGCCTCGATCCTCGCGTAAATCTTCTTTTCCCCCCGATAATTTCATCCACCTCGAACCCGCTCTATTCCTCCGAGCGTTCCCCGCGATATTTAATAGCTGTATATAGACTGTACCGCGTGTATCGTTATGGCGCAACTCGTCGTTAGCCTAACTTAACCCCGAGTCTCGAAGAATTTCGTGGAAACGTTCACGAGTTCGAAGGGCTCGCGTACGACACCGAGATTCCACGGGGTTCTTCTAGCACACGGGGCGGTGTATGTATCCACGGTGTACACCGCTCACGCGTTTCCGTGGATATACCACGCGTGCAGGGGCGAAGAGGAGGACCGGGGGGGGGGGGCTAAAGCGGAATGGAACAGAAGAGAATGGACTGGAATGAAAGGAAGGGGGCGGAAGGAAGTGGCGGAAGAAGGACAGAGGCGACGGGGGGCCGAGGGTGGTTCGCGAAGGGCCTTTGACTGGCGCACGAGGGGGACCAAACTAACCCCTCAGGTTGCTCGGTCTGCAAGGGTGCGCGATATTGATTCTCGCCTACCACTTCCACCGACGTTGTGCTACCTGTACGCGCGAGTACCGGCGAATCATGGCGGTGGTGGTGGTGGTTGTCTCCCGCGCGTCGCTTCTCTCCCGTTCACGCAGACGGCGATTCGTTGCACGTCTCAATGAGCCAGGACGCGATCGAGCCTTCTCGTACACATCCGTCGTATCGTCGTCCCCGGCTCTGATAATCGATAACGATCACCGCTCGCCTCGAGTGACCGTACAGGCCGCGATAAGATCCGCCATTCCGTCGACGGACGACCGATTTGCCGTGTAACGGCCTGCAGGATTCGGAGACGTCGACGTCGCGTTTACGGGGTTTCGGTGGATACGCGAATCGCGATACGGACGTTGATAAATGGCAGCGCCTTTCCCTGCCAGTCGCTCGCGTGGTGGAGCACGTCGCGGAGACACGTCGTCGCGAATGACGTAGATCGATAATGAGTTGGAATTAGCCGTTGATAAAGACGTAGCCTCGATCGCCGTTCAGACGCCCGGGCATAATTGATACGCCATGGTGGCAGCACCCGAACGCCCGCAGCGGATAATGCCGACGCAACGGCGAGTTGAACGATTCGAATCTACTTTGACTTTGTTCCCCCTCGGCTTTGTCCACGATTCCATCTCCCCGCCGGCGTTTATCAGCGGTACCCGAGTTGCGTTTAATTGAGCCACGTCGCGAGGTTTCTCTATCAATCCCGGCTGTTTAGTATCGTAACTCGACGTCATCGGTCTCCCCGAAGAATCTCGTTTCGTTCCCCTCTGCAGGTTGCTGTTCCGCGCGATGATCTTATCTTTCACGGAGCAGCGCGGGCCAACGAGATTAATAACGCGAGATCGGGCTGCCTAGCACTTCGAGCTGCTTGTCGGAGGAAATAGGAGCGTTACGACGGCGCGCAAGCGGCAGGGAGAGAGAACGAGAGAGAGAGAGAGAGAGAGAGAGAGAGAGAGAGAGAGAGAGAGGAAGGGAAACTCTGTTCGCAACAGACAAATACAAGACAATGAAGATTAATGTTTCGGCCTGGTTCCCTGGCCACGCGCTTTGGTAGTCGACTGCGTCGCGTGAACCGAGTTTTCGTTCATCCTCAGAGTCGTTGTTTCGTTCATACGCTTGGCGTATGTGGTTCACGCGAAGCTGCTCGATCTCGATCCTCTCTTCCGGTCGAGGGAGCCGCGGAGATAGGGAAACGATCATAGAGAAACGTCGAAGCGTGTAACGAGTAAGCTAACGAAAGATTACGTTCTGATTTCAGACCAGCAGTCGGCGTGACATGGATGTGAGCTTCACGAACGTATTAGAGGGGGCTCGCCAGTACTTCCAGGGACTGCCGGTACCGAGTACAGGTAGTGCGACCGCGTCAGCGGATCACAATCTCGCGACATCAACGAGTTCCGCCACGTCCATATCGTCGTCGCACGACCATGGCACCGCCTCGTCCGTGGCTCCTCCGTCACCGGCACCACCCGCTCCGCCAGCACCACCGGCACTATCGTTACCGTCGCAATCGACTTCGAACGGCAACAACGGTAACGCCAGTGGCGGCGGCGGCGGCGGCGGCGGCGGCAACGGCGGTAGCAACGATCAGGAAACGAGTCGATATCTCAGCGACGTCAGACCGTCGTCGGTGGACAACGCCGCGACCAGTTCCAGCAGCTTCTGGAGCCCATCCGTCGAACCTTATCCACCCCAACCGACCAGGGTCGAAGTCCCGGACACGAGGCCAGGCGACGAAGGCTCCTCCATGGAGGCGAGCTCGTCGTCCTCCAGTATCATCACCTTAACGGAAATGCAGCCGTCGAACGGTCGATCCTCGTCGACCTCGAATTTCTCTCAGAAACAGTCGGCCTCGTCCGTCGCGTCGTCTTCGTCGTCCTCCTCGTCGTCCTCGTCATCGTCGTCGTCCAACGATCTTCGTCATCGTTCGCAGCCGACGACCGCGACCACGCCGAGCTCGCCGCATTTGCATCAGATGCAACCGCCTCAGCCGCCGCACTCCCCTGGCCCGGTGTATCAACAGCTGAACCCCGTGTCCAGAACGTCGTTCTCCACCGCGGAAATACTCGCCTCGACGCATCAGTCGACCTATCAAACTGCCAACGATCGACAATCGCAGTCGAACGCGCCGGTGGTAGCACAGAGAACCCAATACTACCCCCGGTATCATCATCCGGACATCACTAAGAGCGCCCCGGTACCGTTCACCCAGAACTCGATCTATCAGTCGTCGAGCGTGGCCACGGCCACGTCGACGGGCAACGTGCAGCCGGTCACGAGGCCGACCCCGGCCGAGCAGAGCAACGCAAGCGCCGCTTCCGGTCAAGGACACGCTCAGGAGCAAAGAGTGCCACCGAGTTCCTACGGTAATAACGCAGCACCGCCGGCGAGTAGTACTCCTTCGATTTACGGCTCGCCATCGCCGCAGAACTACCGCGTGCCGCAGCATCAACCGCAGAATCGATTAACCTCGTCGAGCAATCCAGCAACGGACAGGCAGTCGCATTCGGAAAGATCGCACTCCTCGCGCGTCTCCTCGTCTCCGTCCTGTTCGTCGGTTAACCCGTGCAGCCCTCGTCACACAGGCAACTTGAGTCACATTCCTTCGTCGTCTTCGTCCTCGTCGTCGTCGTCGTCGTCGTCATCGTCGTCCTATCAGAATCTTCCGGCGCACATTCCTTCGTCGCACTTGTCATCCGTCGGAACAATGATTCCTCCGCATCATCACGCTCAGCAGCAATCGCAACAACAGCAGCAGCAGCAGCAGCAGCAGCAACAGCAGCAACAGCAGCAGCAACAACAATCTCAGATGCAGCATCAGCAACAGCTTTCTAGTCGAATAAACGCGTCCCCGCATTCGATGGGACCGAACTCGTACGCTGGTCGAATGATCGTTCACGGGGCGTCCGCGACGTCCTCGTCCTCGAACTCGAATCAGATGCCACCACCGCCAGCGCTCGGCGGTTATCATCCCGTCGCTTCTCCCCATGACGTTCCTCATCACGCAACACCCTCGCCGCACAGACAATCGCCTCACGTGTCCACCCTGCACAATCCTCACGCCTCTCCTCATCACACGCCATCCCCGCACAGCAGCTTCCAGCCGCATTCGCCGACTTATCCGCCGCCTCCACCACCTCCGGCCACCTCCACTCCTCACTCGTACAGCCTTCCCATTACGTCGCAGCATTATCAACCGAACACCGGTGGTTACGCCGCGAATCCGTACGGGCTGTCGCACCAGTCTTCGTATCATTCCTTCCAAAAGAATCCCCAATCGTCGCACACGCAAGCCAACTATTACTCGCAGTCCAGTCGATCTCAGAGCCAAGCGTACGTCCAGCAGATGCCGATGCCCGGCCCCGTGCAGTCGATCTGCTCCGGAAACGGAAACACGAACGGCACCGGTTATCAACCGAGCAAACCGGTAACGTACAACGGCGCCGATTCGAAGAGAAACTCGATGGAGGTCCCTTATGGCTCCTATCGATCCCCGCAGACGTCGGTTCAGAGAAGCGGCAACACGCACAACCTTCCACCCATCGCCGCTCTCTCGTCCTATCATTCCAACAGGCGAGAATCCGCGAGCAAGGCGCAATCGGTGCAACGGCAACGCAACTACTCGACCAGCGCAACGAACAAAGTTTCGGTCGTAACGCCGCCCACTTCCTCGATGGCCGCGCCTCAAAGGGTTCCCGAGTACCCGGTTACTTTGCCGGCCATGAATCACGCCATGCTGGTGAACGGAAGGACGACCACGGTAACGAATTCCTCTTACAGCAGATACGCGGCTCAACACGGTTATCCGCCTTACGCTACTACCATGGCGCCCAGTCATCAGGGGAGCAATTCCTCCAGTAGTACCACCGTTACCTCTATCGGCCATACCGTCTCGAGATCTTCCGTTCCGGTCACCACGATACACAGCTACCAGACCTCGGACGCCAGTCGTACGGGATCCTCCGCCTATCACCATCAACCTATAAGGGCTACCGAGGACTACGGATACAAGGAGTATGCCTATCCGAATTCCACCGCGGCCACGGTTCAATCCACCGTTACGCCCTCCATAGTGACTCCGCCACCGCCGCAGACCAACGGCATTCGGAAACGGGAATCGCCGTTGGACCTGTCCGTTAAAACCGTCAAGACGTCCGCGGACTCGACCGCTCAGGACGACGTCGAGACGATCGCGACGGAGAAGCACGTGAGCAGTTCCACCGTGATCTCGAGGAACAACAGCTCCAGAACCATGTTACCGCCCCCGACGCAACCACCTCCGCAGCCAGCCGCGTACCCCGCGTACGACAACCGATTGACCGGTAACACCGGTCGAAGCTTACCGCCGACCAGCGGCATTCGAAACTCCACGCCTCAGACGGTGTGCGCGCCGAAGGTCGACTTCCTGCCGGACTTCAATTCTGCACCGCTGCGTCATCATCACAGTCAACCGCACGAGAATACTCTACAGCGGAGAAGTTCGGCGCAGCAGCTCTACGCTCCGCCTCCGCAGTCTCTTTCTTCTCAGCATCCTAATAATACCGCTCCACTGCCCCACATGTCCACGTTTAAAAAGACTTCACTGCCCACGACGCAGGTGTACGACGCGGTGACCGCGCCAGCGCCGCCTCCGCCGGCCTCGTCGTCCTCCTATCTGGCGGCCAACGACTCCACCGCCTCCAGAGCCTCCAGGTACCCTCCACCCATGGTGGATCCCGGCAGGATAGGGCCGGCCGCGTTGCCTCTTCAAGATTACCCGTCCGACCCGTCGAAATATTACGTGGACAACAGGAATAAATTCAGCCAGCCGCTGCCTCAAAGGGATCGAACTCCCTCGAAGAGGCCCGGGGAGACGATTTACGGTGGCGGGGGGCCGAACAAACAGCCCAGGCTCGACACGTGGATCCAGCAGAGATTGTCAACGGCGAAAGCGTTGCGCGACCAACAGAAGAGGCAAGAGATGAATCTCTCGGTCCCTTTGCCGAACGGCACGCTGGTCGCCTCGAACACCTACGAGCAGAGATCGGACAACGGATACTCGTCGTCGGAGTCGGCGAGGTATCAGCAAGCGTACTGTGATAAGAGGAATTACGCGGAGTCTAAGGTCACCCATAGTTCACCGCCGTACATTCATCCCGTGATCACCAAGCCCGCGAACGTGCACTCTCTGCCGCAAGCCGCCAACCCTGGCCAACCCTCGGCGTACCCGAATTACAGGCAGAGTCAGAAAATCATTGGACCACCGGCTCTACCTGGCGCTACTTCCGGCGGCCAACCGATGGATCCGCCGAGCAACACCGGTGCTGATAAACGAGTGCTCAGCCTGCTCAGGAATAGCCTGGAGAACAAGCAGCAGAGGGAGGAGCAGATGAACAGCCAGCAGCCTATCCTCGCTAATCATAGTCAACAGAGTTTTCAGAATAAGGTACGTACCTTACGGTTATCTCGTTTTCCATGATGGGATCGGTTAGAAAATAGAAGTTAATTCGTGGTCAGGTCGTTTGAGTCGAATAACAGCGGACAGTCCGCGGGTTGTACTCTTTATCTCTGTACGTTTATTGAGAGATCATAAACGTCAGGAGCGATGTTACGCGGAGGTCTCGGAAGCAGCGAGAGCTGTCCGTTATCGTACTAACGCCGGTGTTCTCTATTCCCGAAGGTTGTTGCACCGGTCGAGCCCAAAACGAACATCGGAAGACACAACCTGTCACCATTCACGGCGGCGAGCTTACTGGAACGAAACAGCAACACGCCGCCCCATTACAAGTTCCATGTGCCGAGAGCGGTAGACTCGATCACTCAGGAGGCCCCCCGTAGTTTGTACGCCTCGAGAGTAAATTCATCCGCCACGCTACCTGGCAAGGAAGCACTCCTGGGACCCAGAGGAGCCGAGAATCAGATTCACCGTGACAAAGACGACGGCCTCGCCGCCATATTAGCCGCGAAAATCAGAACCAAGGCGGAACTGAAACAGGTGAACGAAAGGACAATTCTCTGTTTCTTTCTATTCGGTGGCTTGGCTCCTATGGGCGGATTGTTAATGTACGATGTGTTGTTTTTGGTGTTTGTTCTTGAAGGTGGGAACCGGCCAATTCGCAACGAAACCGACGACTGTGCCCTCCCAGGATGCGTCGTCAACTCCGAAAGGTAGCTCTAGATTCTGTTGGTGTAACGGATTAGCGTTTTGTAAATTTCTTACTCCTTCGAGATTACTTTCTTAGACGTTTTACACGTTATCGAAACTATTCGTTCCTCTTTTCTTCATTTTTTTTTTTTTTTTTTTTT